AACAAGAAATCGAACAGAATCATGTGATGGAAGGGAAGGCCATTACCCTTTGGCCTTCAGTAGTTTTATGTGCACAAAAACACACTGACACATGTGCACACCAACACACACTTTGGACTAACAGAGCTGGCACTAGTTAAGAAGAAACAGTAACAGCTGCTGCGGTGGCATCTGTGAGATTCCATTTTTCACTTGATTAATTCCTCCTCACACTGGACACATGCAAACACACACACACAGTCATTTCTCAGCTCTGTAATTTAGCCTGCTGACAGCTTAATTGCTGATCAAATAAAATAAAAAAAACATAAAATTAATGTATCAAAAATTCTTAATTTTTTGTCCTATCTTTTAAGCATTGTTTTACAAAAGCCATGCATCGTAGCTAACGTAGAAGCTTGTTTTTTATCCGTTAAACTAATGATATAATCTAAATGAACACCTGTTCAGATCTCTACAGTAATGCTTTATTCTGGCTAGTGCTCACTTGAATGGATAACCGACCTTGAAGGAGATGAGCTTAAACCTCGGTATAGACTCAGCTGTTGTATCACATCAGCAACCCATTCCCATCCACAGGTGTCAGTTTAGCATATGTGCTTCTCTATTAAGCTGAAAACAACACTCAATACCACTATTGTGAAGGAAGAGATTTGTATAAAATTGAATGGGAGGTATTAAAATCTTCAAGGTGGCAGCTGTAGGACATGACTGGTATAATCAGCGTCTTGTCTTATTGTTCTAAATTTGGAATGATTTAAAGAATCAAGATTTCTTAAAAGATCATTTGAAATGTTATTAAAATGTATGCTTAGCCAATAATAATTGTAATTATAATTACATTCATTTATATTTCATCTAATTAAAAAAAAAAAAAACGGTATTATAAAAATACCATGAAAATAACTGCACTAATTGGACTGTTGCTTTTCAAAAGGAAGAAATGGCAGTTGCGACAGTCTTTTCTTATCATGACATAGGGTGCGTCTCAATAAGTTCCTGTAACAGACTAATTGTATAGACTAAGTTACACTATGGCAAAGATGAAAGTCAAAAGTCCTTAATTAATAATCCACAATGATCAAAGAAGAAGATGACGACAGGCAAAGTAACAACCATCAAACATTGACAAGACAGGACAAAGACCTGAACAAAACAGGGAGTAGTTATACTAGAACAAAACGAAGGAACTAATGAGATAATTGATGGGCAACAGGTAGATACAATGACTAAATCAAACACATGGGAAAACTGGGTCAAACTAGCAGACAACAAAGGTAGAGTCAAAACACAAAGAAACTTGACAATAAGATAACATGACCGTGACAGACAGCATATAATTCAGTAGTCAGGGCACTGATCAGACCATTTAAGGGCTGTTTCAATCGCAAAATCCTTTGTTCCCTAAAAAGTCTCACATGTACTGAAACCAGGGAGCATCGATGCTCACTGTTCCCTTAATGGGATAGTTCACCCAAAAAATGAAAATTACCCCATACTCACCCTCAAGCCATCCTGTGTATATGATATTATTTTTTCAGATGAATACAATCAGAGTTATATTAAAAATTGTGTGGCTCTTCCAAGCTTTATAATGGCAGGGAATGGCTGTTTTTGTTTTGAAGTCCATCAAAGTGTATGCATCCATGATAAAAGTGCTCCACACGGCTCTGGGGGCTTAATAAAGGCCTTTGGAAGTGAAGCAATGCGTTTGTGTTAGAAAAATATCTATATTTAAAACTGTATGGACTAAAATAACCAGCTTTCGGCAGACGGTCGTACATAGACAAGTCGACTTACGCTAAAAGAGTAACACCTGCAATGCCGTTGGATGTAAGGCCAATTTATACTTCTGCGTCGAGGGTACGCCATAGTGTACGGCCTTGGCTACGCACATAGGTGACGCCGTTGTGAGCATTTATACTTCAGCGTTCAGGTCTTGGTTGGTCTGCAGTACTGCTCCGAAACGCTAGTTGGCAGCAGAGGGTTTTAATGTTCCACTGTGTTTAGATTCCTCGCGGCTAGGTTACTACAAGCAATGGCGACTGAAAGAGAGCGGATCATGTTGGAGTTGGAGTTTATTGAGGTGGAAAAACAGTTAATTTTAGTGAAATTACAAATACTGAAAGGCAGAAATGAGAGAAGACGTCGGAGGAGATGGTAGTACGTGCGTAAATGCGTAGGAGGAAATGTGATGCTACCAAGCCGACCAATCTTGCCGTCCGCGTCGTCGCGACGTGTAGTTACATTTTTGAGGAGGTGCGCGTCAGGCTACGGTGAAGGGTATGCGTTATGGGACGCGTCTGTGCGTATGCTACGCCGTACCTACTGCGCGCACCCTACGCAGAAGTATAAATTGGCCTGTAGGAGTAGCGTAAGCTTCTGCAAAAGTTCTGAAGTGCAAAACAGAAATCATGTGAGCTAACTCGCTACACATAATGACACATGGTGTTTTTTTAAATGCAAACCATAATTTAATTAAATTTTGTACATGTAAGTTTATCACATTTTGGTTCTGTTTTCACTGTTCTGGGGTGCGTTTCCCAAAAGTATCATTAGCCAACTATGGTCACAAGTTCCATTGAACTCTATTGGTAACTACGGGAACTTGCGACCATATTGGTTCTGGGAAACAAACCCCTGGTTTGCCTGAGTTCCCTGTGCTTATTAAGGTACGTTTACATGACAACAATATGCTTAAAACTGAGACGTTTTTCGCGCACAGACGGATTTCGGATCGGATCTGCGAAAATGACTAAAAACGCTGTATTCTGCAGCCAGGCCATTAGATGGCGATGAAACACTATAGATTGAACACGTAATATTGCATGTGCGTGATGTCATTGTTTTCACAGATTCGCGTTTTTGAGTTTTACGCGGAGAAAAACTTGTTTTCAAATCGCAAAAAAAATTCTTCTGTTTTAGTTTAGTTGTTTTAGTTTAACCACAGAAATCGCCACGATTGATCGTCTTTCGTCTGGGGCAGCCCAAAATTGTACAATGTGTACCAGGCGTTAAAGAGACTTTGATTGTGGTTATCTTTTTCAATCCTCTGACGGAGATCTGCTAGCGTTCAATGTGGCTTCAGGCACTGATGCTTTGAAATGAGTAAATATGCTTAAATTACTAAAGTTGAGGGTTCATCGAGAGTAGTATGTCAACACACCAAGACACGAGTCAAATCAACAGATATGACTTTCTTTTGTCTGTACAAAGGATGAGTCCCACTGATCCTCAAAATCATTATAGCTTCTGCCAAGGAGCGTTTTAACAGGTTCCAAGGACCACGGCTTACTTTTTAAATAAAACATAAACAAGGAAAATATCAAACCCATTAATCTTTCATTAAGCTAGCCTGGATAAAAAAGAATCGCTTAAAGTATCATTCGTTACCATCACTGCGAGAGCACATGCCCCCCTGCTAACTTCAAAGGCTTTCTCAAAGAAAAAAGAGAGGATAGAAAGAGTGGATGAGAGAAAAAGAGAGAGAGAGTCAGTTAGCTAGCTGTTCGCTACTTTGTGTTTGGCAGCAAACCAGCTTGTGGTCGCATTTTTATCTTCTGAGAGAGAGAGAGACAGAGAGTGAGATTGTTAGCCTCGTAGGAACATTATCAAGACAGTTCCTCATAACACACACACCCGCTATAAACAAAGCACAGCAGAGCCCAAAAGCAAACACTAGCGGAAGGGGCCACCATAGTAATATACACAGCTATGTTGATCTTGTATTAATTTGGTGACCTGCACATTTTGACATATGCATTTTTTTTTATGTATTACACATTGTGTTCATTGAGTACTTCATGCGTGCGTGTGTGCGTGTGTGTTTAATTTGCGGACCTCATTTTGTTTCCTGTCTTAGCTCCACCTCTTCCCTTTTGATTTCGAACTAGAGATCTTTTTTTACATTAAGCTTGCGACATACAAACTTTGTTGTAAACAAAGTTAGAGAAGTGCCTCTCGAATTAACCCAAAAATTCTACCCAGCAACCTAAATAAATTCAACCGGACATTGATACTAAGGGCACATTTTGTAGATGCACAGCTTTATCCTCTTCTTTTTTTATCTTTGACTTTTAGCAAAGTTCTTTCAGCAAATGTAAATTATCTAATGAAAAGAATGAACAAACAAAAATATTCATATAAATATTTATTTATTTGCTTGTTTGTACTTTCATTCATTCCATGCAAAAGAAAGAACGAGAACCAAACAAAACACTTTCAGTAGGCCTACCTACATTAATATTTATCTGCT